AGACCATGGCCCGTGTCATTCCACATTGCAAGTTGCTAAAGCAGAATATAATTATCCCTCTCAAACTTCAATTAACATCATATTCAGAGGAGAATCCAGATTCTCTGTTATTTTGTCAGTAGGAATGAAAGGTTCAGGACAGTTTCAGGAGGTTCCTCCGTAGAGACGTTTCACTTCACTGCTGACTCAGCACCCCAACATGGGTGCCCCTCAGCACAATCTTAGTGAAGAAGAGCTGGGGTCTTGAGGCAACCCAGCTGTGTTCAGATTTCACCTCCACCAACTTGCACATGGTCATGACCTACACCTCCACTTCCTCATCTATAAAGACTGGGATAGGAAGAGGGGGTGTAGAGAAAATTAAATCAGTTAATACATAGATACAGGGCTTGGCCACCTCCTGTCATGGATAAGTATTCCATCGACATCAGGTCACTGGCTCTTTGACACCAACACTCCAAAGAGCCGAGACGAATGTAGCCTTCTTCCTCGTGCTCAGCAATCAACCGTTTCATTCTTTTTCCTAAATTAGTAATCCTCCCTCCTCCCACAAAGCCTCCCCCTGTCAATCTTCCTGGGAGAGTAGGAAGATTTCTGAAATGAAAATGGGACTGAACTTGCAGGAAATTTCTCAGCAATGTTTCCAGATGTCCCCATGGTAAGAATTACCTGGAATGATGATTCTCTTCCAGGAGCACCAGACACTTAGGACTGGTGAATGGGTCCCCAGAGCTTGTCAGTAACCAGGCCTGGGTTCTCACCAAATGGACAGATGTTCACATCTCTTTCCTGGAAGTTCTGATTCAGGGGGTCCGGGCTGAAACCCAGACGTCTATTTTTAGCATTTATATTTTAGCACTCTAATTAATTCTTATCTTCAGGGAAGTTTGAGAAATTCTGCAGTAGAGAGAGGGTTCAAAAATAGAAAGGAATCCTAGGTGAAAAAATTGGTAAAGAGAATTAGATGCAGACTCAGAAGGCAAGTGGAAAGACCCAGCAAAGATCCTCTTGAGTTTGTTCATGGAAGATACTGAAATAAGAGAAACACGGGAGGAATCAGATACAGAGAGCATGACATTGTGGCAACCGTTAGACCACCTTCGCTTTCAGAAATGAGGTTCTTTCTTTATTAGTTTTTTAAGAATAGTTGGGGATATATATATATATATTTAAATTTTAGAGAGGTAAGGAGGGGAAAGGGGAGAGGGAGGTAAAGAGAAAAGGGGGGGGAAGGGGGCAGGGGGAGAGAGAGAGAATCTTAACCAGGCCCACACTCGGCACAGAATCCTACATTAACTGCTGAATATTTCCTAAACTACCTCATTCCACATTCTGCCCCAGACCAATTAGGCTAGGACCACAGGAGAAGGGCCTGGGCTTTCCCGTTATTTTCACCTCTCCCTGTGAGTCTAAGGAACTAGACTTAACCATTCAGCTAGACAAGTGGCCCTCAGCCTTGGCTTGTATGAGAGTTACCTGGAGCTCTTTAGAAACTACAAACACCCAAGACCCACTCACAGAGATTCCCATATAACCGGTCTTAGGTGTAGCATGATCACTGAGAATTTTAGAAGGGCACCAAGTGTTTTTACAGTGTGCAGCCAAGGCTGAGAACCACTTGGCCAGACTTTATCCTCTATAACCAGTTTTCTGAAAATCAGGGGCAGCTGCTCTTGAAGTTTAAATTCTTTGGTCTGTGTTGAGAGTGCAGAGCAGACTAGGAGTAGCATGGGGGTCAAGACCCATGCCAGTCTCCTCTCTCCTCCTGAGAGGTGAGCCCACCAACACTGTCCAGAGTGCACATGCACTGCTTTGGTCATTTAGTTTGCCCTGCCCTTGCTTGGGGGTAGCAGATTGCCCAGCTACATTGTTAATCTTTTTGATCATACCTCTCTCTGGTCATTTGGGGTAAATGATTCCACTGAGAGGGTCATGGATGATCCACATATGGGGCTGAGAGAGATGGTTTTTGTCTTAAAGGTCAAGTGGGGAGAGACAGAACTGTATATCAAAATTGCCTAACAGTGGACAGAGACATCACCATGAAACCTATCCCTTATAATTCTATCCAGATTCCTCTGTTGGCCTCCCATGTGGGCCACATTGGCCTGATATCCCTCCCCAGGCTATTATTTGGCAGACATCTCCTTTTGTACTTATAATCAGTGTAGCGGGAGGGCTGATCATGCAGGTTGACTCCATGGAATTAATGAGCTCCATAAAAAGGCAGTTTTCTGAAATGGATGTAGTGGGATTGTTTGCGTGGAATTAAAAGAAAATAAATAGCAATAGAGAACTGATACATCCAAATAACTATTTTGCAAATACGTTTTAATAATTCCTTTTTGGTACTGCCGCAGAGTCCATGATATATCCCTTAAAATATCACTACTGGGGCGCCTGGGTGGCGCAGTCGGTTAAGCGTCCGACTTCAGCCAGGTCACGATCTCGCGGTCCGTGAGTTCGAGCCCCGCGTCAGGCTCTGGGCTGATGGCTCAGAGCCTGGAGCCTGTTTCTGATTCTGTGTCTCCCTCTCTCTCTGCCCCTCCCCCGTTCATGCTCTGTCTCTCTCTGTCCCAAAAAAATAAATAAACGTTGAAAAAAAAAATTTTTTTTTAAATATCACTACTGGCAATAACTTTATGCTTTGATGTAGATTTGATTTGATAGTCGGCCATCTTCTGAGCCAACTCTCCGAGTCATACCCTTTGTTCAGAGATTTTTCTCAGGAATCCTAGAGACACTCTAAAAAAATTCAAGATATATAGGTTGCCCGAGAGAGAGAGCGAGCGAGCAAGCTTGGGGTGGGGAGGAGAGGGAGAGGAAAAAGGAAGGAAGGGAATGGAGAAATAGTAGCATTATTTTTAAGAGTACGTGTATCGTAGGGCGCCTGGGTGGCTTAGTTGGTTGAGCGTCCAACTTCGGCTCAGGTCACGATCTCACGGTCCGTGAGTTTGAGCCCCGTGTTAGGCTCTCTTCTGACAGCTCAGAGCCTGGAACCTGCTTCAGGTTCTGTGTGTGTGTGTGTCTCTCTCTCTCAAAATAAATATGCATTAACAAAAATTAAGACAAAAAAAAAAAAAAGAATGTATCATGTCCCAAGTAAGAGTGCTGTGAAACACAACTATCATATGTTCTAAAATTCTGGTACAATTAAAGACAAAGGTCTGATGTCTTTGTAAATATACTGGTAGGTTGTGTTCTTAAAACTTTTTCCTTCTTCAGTCAATCACCATTGTATATCTGTGTTGGTTGCCTCTTGTGGTTCTCCTAATGTCTGGCAGGAGGGACAGTTCTGTAGGGAAAATGCAGAAGTGAGATACAAGGTGGCAGAGTATTCTGGGATGATAGGGTCTGAATTGGATAGAACCATCTCACTAACAAGGCCCACCCTATAGTTGAGGAATGGCTATACCAAAGAGTTTGCGCCTTTGGATGCACCAGGCTGCCGCTCTTGGTAATAAAGTGTTATTCTTGTGAGCATACTATGAACAGAAGTCCTTCCAAGGGCTTGTTTGGTCCATACACATATGAATTTCATGCATGCAATTTGAGCTGCCCATATTGTGTTCCCCCTTGAGGCATTCAGAGGTGAACAAGTGAAAACAAATATTCAAGCCCAAATATCTTCATTTTCAGGGATATTAATTGTACTGCTCCTCAAACCTCAGAAATTTGAAGCCAGGTATTGGTGGGGCTCAAAAAGTCTGTGTCCAAGCAGAAAGAGAGCAAAAATCCAGTGACACTAACGTTCTTATTCTTTTAAGAGAAGTGATAAATGAACTTGGCTGTGACTTTTGTTATATGGAAGAAAGACATAAGAAATACTATTTTCAGAGCATGTATAATTTTGTTTAGATTTCATTGGTGTGGAAATAGCTAGAATTTTCAAGTGAATGCCAAATTCTAGTGAATTTTCCAGTGGTAGCTCTATTTATATTTCAGAGTGTACCTCTTGCAAAAGTAAAACTTTCTTAAGGTGTTTTAAGAAATGCTCAATCACTAGGTACTTTTTGGAATCATTAAAACATTTGAAGAAGACCAATCAAAGACCCCAAAAATGCATTTAATCTTGCTTCTTAATGATTCATACACTACAGAAAAATCTAACAAACGAGAACCAGAAGGCTCTATCCTACTGCTTCTGAGGCATTTAAGATCCCAGCTAATCTCATTGGGGCATTTTTATAATCTGCCTCCCACAGACGTTCTCATTTCTAGAGAAATAAACAGTGTGTCTGAATTAGAACACATTTCATTGTGAAAATGCCACAGTTGGAAACATCTTAAGAGAGTTTTATCATCTTCCTGGATTTACTAAATCAAAGTAAAATAGCATTTTCCATTTTAATTTTCTTTTAAACACTGCATCATTAAAAATAATTTGGTGAGATGGGATGTACTCCAATAGAGGAATTCTCTTACGTTCTTTGTGTAGCCAGCCTAGTTTGGTGAGGAAATTATTATCTATAACATGAGACCATATAACCATTCTCTTCTGAAATGACAGCAATTTCTTTTTCTTTCCTTTAAAATTTTTTTGATATTATACTACAATAATAAAGTCTGGAATTTTACGATTTTTCGTAGCTAGCTGCAGTACCCCATTTTTCCTAATGGACAGTCTGTATTTTCTTTAAATGTAATTTGCATTTAGTGTAGAAATTCCAAGCGCAGTTTGAAATGCCCTGGCCTTAGAAACATATCCTTGCGTGACGTGCTGGTAACACTCAGTACTCCTATGTCAGTGCTATAGTGTGTAGACACACACCCCACCCCCGTTCTCACATCACCCCTGATTCCACTGGTGAGGCCCCCCGCATGCCTGGCTCATGATCCTTCTAAACTCTCCCAAGTCCTAGCCATACCAACACTTTCCCTTGCAACATCCATTCGAACACAGTGCCCTCCCTCCCCGCATCTGAATACATCTACCCAGTTGGCAGAGAGCACATTTCTCCCTGAGCGAGCAGTATTGTGAATTTTATCTTCTCTTCCAGAAATCAGTTCGTCTTCGTTGCAGCAGATGAAATTTCTTGTAACACCTCTGCAGGTAACAAACATTGCTACTTCTTGACGCATCCATCCAAGTCTCAATATTCTTTCTTTCTTTTTTTTTTTTTTTTCCTTCACATGCTGCAATTGGTCACTCTAGAAAGTTGAGTTGAAAAAAAACAAAAACAAAGTCCATATATCTTTGGAGTATAGCTGAAGCCTTGAGCCTCTGTTGTCTAAAAAGACACTAGGCGCTTTGCTAACTTGGGTACTTTATTTCCAGTTTTAATAGTACATGATCTAGAAAAGTAAGACTGTGTTGGATGAAGCCACAATGCAATCTTACGGTATAAACACTTATGTTAAAATGCTGAAAGGGGAGTCTAGGGATGCACATGTGTGACTTGTATGTTTTTTGACATATTTTATATGGGTTCACACAGATGTGTATGTGAATTATACTGATCTGTATTGAATGACTGGTTATATATCATAGACCCTAAAAGACGGACTCTGTATAGCTAGAGGCATTGGGGAATACAATTATCTCCATCTCATAAGAAGGGGATCTTCATTCTATGAATCAAAGATCCCCTGTCTCCTTTCTTGTAAAACCTATTACAAGTAGCAGGATTTAGAGAGACAAAGTCTTCTGCTTTTGAAATCAGGGCATTGGCAAATGGAAATCGCACAGTTGCATGATGTGTCCATCAAAATCACACCTGTCTTTCTGCTTTGATGTGGTTCAGAAGAGTTATGTTTGGATTTTCATTAGCTTGGAATTACTTGATTAAATGTCAAGATAGGTGAGTGCTAACAGATTCTTTGTTTTGTTTTGTTTCGTTTTTTGTTTGGTTTCATTTGCTTTTAAGCCTAAACTACGACCAAAACAATTACTAGGAGATCTTCCCAATATGTGGCTTCTAGCCAACAAGGGAGGACTGTACAGCTTATTAGCATGTAGTTGAGTATGACGTGACCTTCAAAGCCTATATTAAACAGAGCCTTGCAAATAGACATTCATCTGTTCCAATCACATTTTATCGATGGAGCAGTAAATGCAAGCTTGCTTGCTAACGCTTCCCTCCCTACTTACAGTCTTTGGTGAGAAGAAACTAAATTAATGGAAGGGCAGATTGCTAGGAACATGTCCCTAGCCCCGTCTGTCCTAAAAGGCAAGGCTTCTTTCATTGATAAGGGTCCGTGTCAATATTTTTAATGGCGGAAAGTCTTAACCTGGGAGTTCATGAGGTATGCATGTTCATATTTTAAAGTGACAGCTTACTCCATTTCTATCAAACCCCTTGGATAAAGGCTCTTCTATTTTCCTTCCTCGACCCCTACCCTCCAACATCTGTTCCCCCCCCGCGAGCGGTGGTGACATCCCTAACGCATCACTAATACTTAATAGTAGAAGGGGGGGTGGGATACTTGTGTAGCTGGACGTGGTGGGGAATGTTCCTGGGATGCAAGAGACATTTCACATTTTCAAAACCTTGCAAAGGGAGCATGCGTCCGGAGGGGTAACCGACTGGGGGTGGGGAAGGGATGTTGGTTTAAACTGCTAACAGATGTCACGTGTGGAGAGGCTGTCTTCCACAGCCTCTACGTATCCTGTTAAAATGCATGCATGTTCCGGTGTGTCTCAGGTTATATTTTGACATCACAGATCACACACTGCAAAGTTACAGCCTCAGAGGTAGATATCGATTTCGTCCCGTGCCTTAACAAACCCTGCCTTGTAAGCAAGTGGTCCACATACACTATTGCTGAAAGAGGCGGCAGATAATGAAAGTTTGCCTGGGTAGACCGAGTGTGTTCACCTTACCTTATCTGATTTAGGATGGCTCTTCAGTAAATTCTTAATGAATTGCTATTGATCAGATTTCAAATTGAGAGAGATATCCCTGTTGCTTTGATGGCCGTATTAATAATATGTTGCATGCTTCATAAGGTCCCATTTGAAGTCTGAATTCTGAACCAAGCATGAAAAAGGAGACACCCGTATCAATCAAATGTCAAATTATCTCCTAGCCAGTCCTCCCTTCTCATAAAGTGAATATGGAAAAATAGAACCGGTCGGTTACAAAGGTTGTGTACTCATGGTTTCAATGAAGACCCCGAGGGGAGCTCCTCATGTGCCCCCTCCCCCATGCTGGGAAAACCCAGGGCATCCCCATTCTAATCAACAAAACCATCCCCACATGCAGAACACTCCAAAGTGCAGGTCTCTTGAATCCCGGTATCTACTGGATTTCAGCGTTTGACACAAGCCAATTTCTCTCCTTTTAGATGAAGAAAGAAATCAACAAGATGCTTAGAACCTCGGTTCTGAGGGCCTGGTGGATTTTATAACTGAAATTCTTATAAAGATGTGTTATTCTTGCACAGCTGCCTCTCGGGGCAGAGCTGACCGGGTTTGTCTCTGGCTCAGGGTAGAGATGGTGAGGTGAAAATTGCCAGACGGTACTGGCAGCACCGAAGGGTTGTTTCTTCCTGTTTCCAAAGGAAACGTGACGGTTTGTTACTTGGGTCATTTGGAGAGGACGCCAAAATGTTGGTTCTGCTTTGGCTAGCCACGTAGAAGAAACGTTTCTCATTAGCATGTGTGGTTTGTGAGACTGTATTTACATTTATTTTCTTACTCAGTGTCTCCAGCAGTGGTGTTCGTTGTTTTGGTTTGGTTGCTCCTGAAAGATAAGTACCCATGTGGGTGACACTGGCCACTGGCCTTTTGACAACAGCGCTGAACCCTCAGCATACAGTGCCTCCCCACCTTGGACACTCAGCTTCTCATTCTATAGCAATGAGACCCTTTCATGAGTCAGATCCTGTAACAGACTGCAAAAGGGACAAGATGGTTTTCCCTTATTAGACTCAAGGCTGGAAGTGGCCGCTCTGATTCATCAGAACTTTCCCAGGACCGGCTAGTGATTGTAGTAGAAGTAGAATATGGGTCTTGCCCAAGAATGGAGGTCGAAAAGCAAGTTACTTATTTTGGCCGAGCAGCTGGAAATTAATTTCACTTAATTAATATGTATTGAGTCATCATTGTGGATCAGCAACTGTTATGAGCCCTCGGGACATAGCATTAAATAAGCCAAGAGGAGCCCTTCCTTCAAAGAGCCTCCTTGCCCCCTTTATAGTGGAGACCACACCCCCAACATGTAGATGGATAGGCATGGAATATTCTTGCATGTAAGTTAAGTTCTACAACAGCTCTAATGAATCAAAGAGCAGAGGGGTGGACCGAAAATAGGATGAAATGCTACCTTAGGTTCAGTGATCACAGAAGATCTGAGAGGGTGACATTTGAACGGGGACCTGAATCTAGTGAGGGTGCAGCCAGGAACGTAACTGTGGAACGGTAAGCATTTCAGGCTGAATGGGCAGCATGTATCAGGGCCATGTGGGTGAGACATGCCAGAGGTGGCCAGGCCCAGCAAGATGTACAGTATAAGGACAAGTAACAGCTTTGGAGATAAAATCAGGAAGACAAACAGGGCTCAGGAGAATCAGACGAAACCGTTCAAGATTTAAGTGCGGTAGGAAGGCACTGAAGGGTCACCTGTGATCCGCCTTAATGTTTAAATGGTGAGTTAGACTGCATTGTGGGGAACAGATTACAGGATGGCAAGAGGAGAGAGGGTGCCTGTTGGGAGTGTTTTGCAGCAGTCCAGGGAGGGGTGACAGTGGCTTAGGTTAGGACCGTGGTGAAGGAAGAGCCAAAGTGATAGTCTTCGGGCTGCATTTTGACAGGAGAACAAGTAGCAGAGGGCAGCAGGTGAAAAGCCGATGAGATTGTCTGTGTTAAATGTCCACCCTCTTCCTCTTGTTCCGAGGGTGAGCTAGGTATTTCCATAAGGCGCTAAGGCTTTTTGTCACTACTGATGATGAGTGAGCCCTCAATCCCTGCAGTAGCTGTGCCTCAAATGGACTTTGGTGAATTCTCCAGGGTGTAATGATCACTTCCTGTTGTTCGTTGAGCAAATTCTGTGTGCTAGCAAGCATGATAAATTATATGGATACATACATACCTACATGTGCATGTATGTGCATGTGTAGACATGAACATATGATTTATTACACCAGCTCAGTGAGGTAGAAATCACCCTCATCCTCACTTTGGAGGTAAAAAAGAAAAAAAAAAAATGCTCAGGCCCAGAGAACTTTGGTAACCTGTCACAAAGCACAATGGAATGCCTCTGATGATGAGGTTCTTACCACTAGACCACACTGCCCCCACGTGTTTCTTGTGTTTTGACCTTGGAACATTGACCTTTGCCTCCAGATGGAATTCTCCTACGTTTTTCAGCTGCCCTGTCTTGCTCGTAAAAAGCTAGTATTTGTGAGAGAACATAGTTGTTAACATGTTGAGGGGGCTCAAGGGAACTTGATGGTTCTATAAATGGCTGCTCTGCTCAGTGTTTATTTGACTTGGGCCATCCCCTTCATCAGCAGGTGTGTGTTGAATAGTCTGATGTACAGGGGATTGGTCTGGGTGCAGGGAGCAGCTGCCTTGTCAGGGAACATTCTGTGTATTCCCGGAGATGTCTGTTCCAGGTCACTTCTCCCCAAATCTTTCTTTTGCTGAAAATCAGTGTCTAAGAGTCAACTAACAGGATAATCCATTCCCTGAAAACTACCAGAAACTTGGAACTAGTTGTTTTGGATGCCAGATCCTGGCTCCCAGCTGCCCCCTGCCCAAGAGAGTTTGTGTGAATGCTTGTGTGTTATGGGGTGCAGGTGGAGGCTGGGTCTCCATCCGGTAGCAACTCTTGCCGCCTCCACTGGGCCAGGTACCATCTTAGAGGCATGGAAAGCCAACCTGGGGATACACTCCCAGTTCTTTGTCAGTACTGGACAGTAGATAAGGGTGGAGGTCCGCAAAAAAGCCTTGACCAAATGGTCATCTTCCAACACCATTAAAACCATCCTCTGTAAACAGGCTGCTATGTACCGTATTAAGTAATTACTAGAAGCAAGTGCATGGGCACATGGGGTGGCATCATTCCTTCCTTCCTTCCTTCTATCCCTGCCCAACTTGTGCATGCACAT